GCCTAAATATACATTCGGATATATATATATATATATATATATATATATATATACAAAAGAATAATCACACATAGAATTAATCAGATATTAATGCGATTATTGGCGACATCCATCGCTAGAAAACATAATATATGCATTAAAATCATGTTCATCCATAGTGCGAGTTTTGATCCTTGAAGAAAAACTTGTTGTCTGTAATTTTTTTTAAGGAAAAAAAAAAACACATGCCTGATGATGGATGGAAGACTATCCGTAAGTACTAGCATTTTAACATCAAATAAACTGAAAAACTACAGACAACAAGTTTTTCTTCAAGGATCAAAACTCGCACTATGGATGAACAGGATTTTAATGCATATATTATGTTTTCTAACGATGGATGTCGCCAATAATCGCATTAATATTTGATTAATTCTATGTGTGATTATTCTTTTGTATGTAAATCATATGCTGCCTAATGTTTTATGTTTCTTAAAAACTATCGATCCGCAGTACATAAAAATTCCTATAAAAAAAAACTACTACTAAGACATTACACCATATTATTGAACTATATACTTAGTTCATGACATAAAAACTAAATACACTTGTAAAAATAGAATACGTGGATTTAACACATCACAAGAAATATTTTAAATAAAATTCTCACTTAAAAAATTTTGAAAAACTTAGCGTTGCGTCTTTGCACGTTCCGAGATGTTACACAACCGTCAATAATAGCAGACATTCAAAAAACATCTTTCGGTCGACATACAGATATATCGTCTCAAGTTTTTGATTTTATAAGGAAAAAAAAACACATGCCTGATGATGGATGGAAGACTATCCGTAAGTACTAGCATTTTAACATCAAATAAACTGAAAAACTACAGACAACAAGTTTTTCTTCAAGGATCAAAACTCGCACTATGGATGAACAGGATTTTAATGCATATATTATGTTTTTTCTAGCGATGGATGTCGCCAATAATCGCATTGATACTTCTGATTAATTCTATGTGTGATTATTCTTTATTATGTAAATCATATATGCTGTTTTATGTTTATATATATATATATATATATATATATATATATATATATATATATATCAGTTTAACAGTGAACTACAGAAATGAATGCCTTGATGGAGTATATATATATATATATATATATATATATATATATATATATATATATATATATAAATGGTGTTTTATGTAATAAATAGCAGGAAATGTGTGGTTGATTTTAGTGACGACCGTTTTTCGATGTTACCTAAGTCCCACTCCACATTTCACCTCAAGATTCTAGAGTCCTTCTATATCAGATCACGTGGGCCTTCCCTTTGCAAACCAGTTGTTCTTTTTTAGCTTTTTTAAAAATGCCTTATAAATTTTGCTTTACCTACCTATTGTTAAATTTTGTACCATTAAAACTTATTTAAATATATATATATATTCCTGGTGTGGCTAAGCACAGCAAAAGCTTTCTAGTCAGAGGTAGTCATTTATTCGACGCATATAAAATCAAATTTGTAAATGTGAGTATTTATCTAACGCCTCTTTCTGTGATACTGACAACATTTAGTTTCCGATAAAGACAAAGACGATGAAAAAATGCCCGAAAACATGACCTTTGGTTATTTTATACACAATTTTAATCTGTAGGTACAACAACGTATTCGGAAACTTGAGGAAAAAATACAATCAAATGATTAAATGGCCGACCTTGTCGAGTTTAAAAAGCGAATATATTCAACATAATAATGGTAATTGAATAAAATTGTAAAGAAAGATTTCAAATTTAGAGGCTTTCAAAGCACCCAGTAATTAATAAAATCACCTACGACTGTATAAATGCCATTCTAAAATGTATTTGAACTCTCAGAATTAGTACTCTGTCTTAGGAATACGGTAACATAGAGCTCTGTTACTCAATAAATAGCCTCGCGCTCACATGAGAGCGCAAACACTGAAATCTTGCCTACTACCAATAAGATTCTCAATTGAATATAATTCTTTCTTTCTTTTTTCTTCAATAGTTATTTTCTGTATTTTCTTTTTCTTTTTTTTATCGAATCTAATTTCATTTATTTCTCTCTTTCTTTCTTTTCTATACAATTAATATTCTTTTTTTCTTTCTTTCTTGTTTTGCACATCATTTTCTTACGTTTTTTTTTTGTCTATTAGTCATCATTTTCTTTCTTTCTTTCTTTCTTTCTTTATTTCTTTCTTTCTTTCTTTCTTTATTTCTTTCTTTCAATGCTTATCATTCTTTTCTTTCCTTCTTAATTTGCTCATCGTCTTCGTTCATTCGTCTTTTTTTCTCGCTTTTTTTGCTCATTAGTTTCTTTCTTTCTTTCTTTTTTTCTTTCTTTCTTTCTTTTTTTCTTTCGTTCTTTCTTTCTTTTTTCTTTCGTTCTTTCTTTCTTTCTTTCTTTCGTTCTTTCTTTGTTATTCGTCATTTTCTTTGTTTCTTTGTTTCTTTGCTCATCATTTTCTTTCTCTATTTCAAGTAG